TCAGCAATAATACAGACAGCAATGTAGTTAGCAACAAAACAGTTTTATTGGGAATTAACTTAAAAAACAAACATCAGTCTCCTATTTTCTATCACACAGGAAAGAAGCATCAATATCTGATAATTTATTTATTTGGGGGGGGGGGGGGGGGGTCAACAGGAGAAGAATATCTCTAACAAGTTGATTTGTTCTCATCTTAATTTTTAAGTGAAAAGTGCATTTGAGTTTATACACCATGTATATAAGGCGACCGTCCTTTTGCAGTATTTTTGTGTGCTGCGTTTTTCTGTCTTAACAAAAGGGGAACAAATGTGTCTAAGTTCACCCAGGATGATTTGTTTTCATTTTCACATGGTCTTACTGAGGTAATGCGAAAAGACTATGTGCACCTTAGCATATGCTACTTCCGGTGGCACCCAAAATGCACACAGATGGAAGCAAAAGGTGAACTTAAATACAGCTTTAATGCTGGACAACAAAACAGAAAACTGGCTGAAGTAAAATACAAAATAAACTTACACAGGCAGACAGAACACACAACATGAATGAGGGTAGATCGCAACACTTTTGGACTTTTGCAAATATGTAATGTCCTGATAATCGAGCAGATATTTGAAGTTTACACAGCTACATTCTCGACTGAAATATCTTAAGCATTTATTTTGTGACCAAGAAAGAGTAATATTAAAACAAAGTAGCTGCCGCCATTGTTGGAAACTAGAATTGGCTGGGCCGCACTATGAATTCTGGGTTAGATCGGGCCACAAAGAATACACCCGACCCATCTTTTCAATCTAAGGAAAAGGACACATTTGGAGGAGTCTTCGAGGTTGGACAGTCTTCGTTGCGTTGCTGTAACGTTATCGACCTACAAATGTGCCTGCAAAGGATGCAGCCCCTGAATTTGGACACAGCTACGACACTGGAGACGGCTTCTTCTTGTTTTTGTGTTGAACACTAGTTGACCTGATCGTGACTAGTCAACGAATCGTAGCAACCCCAGTTGTTATTATTGGATGACTCTACACAGGTTTAGCTGAGAGGTCGGTGACAGAAAGTGATTATAGGGTTGTAGCTTACACCGTCCCGATCATTGTGTTCTTATTTCTTAGAGCAAAAGAAGTGTCAGTCTGGACAAATGAACAGAAAAACTAAACAGAGGCCGATTCTGTTGGCATTGATATTTTTTATATTGTCATTTGTGCTAAAATATATAAATATATAATCATTGCCTTTATGTGTCCTAATATGGCTATAATTATGAAGAAGTCAGACAGTCAGAGGATTTATTTTAAACCTTCTACTATTTCCTTTATCTGTGTCTGTGCTGACAAAATGTGCTTTCTTTATTTAGAGTGCAGCTTAGTCCAGAGATGAGTTATGTTATACATTAGGAAAGCACCATGTTCAGTTTCTTCTAAAGTGCAAGACTTCACACCGTTAAATGTTTGTTTGAGACATGACCTATTACAAGTTCCTGTTTTTATAGTTTAGCAAAGTGCTTGTTTCTGCTTTTCTGCATACCTCATACACACGGTTTAAGGTCATTGAAAGGTCGCGTGTCTATGTATAGTATAGCTGGAAACACGCACACACATGCAGTCTGAGCAGAAGAAAAGCTGCTCTGGAAACATGAGCAACAGTTTGACAGGTGACCAGAAAGATGGTGAAGCTCAGCAAACACGAAGCAATTTGATACCAGAACAAAAGAGAAATGTCTCCCAAGAACAGCAACGACTTCACAGTTTAAAGAAGAGCGATGATTCATAACCATCAAAGAGCAACTCAGAGGATAAACAGAAGAAAAGTGATTTGATTGGAGAGGAGAGTGATTCTCAGAGACGGTCACTGAACAGGAGACGTGACGACTTTCAGGACGCCTCACTGACATTCATTGATGCAGATGATGATTTGGACTGTGACTAACCCGAAGATAACAGTTATATTTGTTACCATTTATGATATTTTGACTCTAAATGATGTATTTTTTATTATCGTAAAGCATTTCTAAAACCAGTAACACTGAGATTTTATCCACTTCTGTCTGTAGTTTTGTGTCATGGTCACAAGTCTGTGAAAACAAAGTGAGTGTAATCTCTAAGAGTTCAAACTTAAGTGCAAATTAAAATATTTTGATGAAAATAAAACCATCAGAAATGTTTACATGAACCAAATCACAAAAACTGGAAGATGGAGGATGTAAAACATGTAAAACAATCAGGTACTGAGCAGAATTAAAGTGTGGAAATGTCACATCAGGTGTTCATCATTAAAGGGGACATGAAACACTACATGTATAAATGCTGATGTACATCATGGAGCCCAGCTCTCAAAAACTGACACAGATGTAACTCTGACTGTGAAGCTTAATTTAAGAAATAAGTGCTTAGAGTTATAAAAAGATGTTCAGCGCCATCTTCTGTCAGTACAGAGCATCACATCACCAGGTCAGTTGGCTCGTTTCAGTCAAAGACTCACATCAGTTTATGTTAAGTAACTAATAGCAGAACCAATAACTCAGTGAAAATAAGGACACTTAAACTAAACATCAGTTTAATGGGGTCACTGTTGTGCTGCTCTCAGCTGCAACAATGAGTTTTATGTTAAAACGGAGGACATACTGTCTGCTTTCACCGTCTGTCTCTTTAGCAGTAAGAGGTTCTGCGCTGTTTGGTTAGCTGCACTGACACAGGAAAATCCAGCTGTTAGCTGTAATGTTCAGGTCTGTGAAGCACTTTATGAACGAGGACTTCATGAAGGAGAGTCTGTTTGACATGTTTTGTGAACTTTAAGTTCTTATTTCTTAAATCCAGTTTCACAGACAGTTACATCTGAGTCAGTGTTTGAGAGCAGGGCTCTAAGATGTAAATTATCATTTATACATGTGGTGTTTTTTAATGTCCACTATAAAGGACAAATGTAATTTCATGCATTTGAACCTGTTTTACATACAAGAACATGTTTGAGTAAATATTTAACTATTTTTCATGTAGAACCACTTAACAGTGTCCCAGCTGTAGATCTTCTGTCGTGAGCTGAGAGAAGAAGTGTTTCTATAATCTGCTGCAGAGGACTGTGGAAATGTTTGCTGCATAAATCAGCAGCTACAAACACTGAGAACCTGCCTGGATATCAGCATAAGGACGTGTGTGAGGGGTCACTGGCTGCCCCTCTGTCTGTCCCACCTGTGTTGGAGAACAATAAGGTTTATTATAAAAGCATTGTCTCCCCTTGATGCAAAGTGAAGTTCTGTTTTGTGTTTGAGTCTTTGCAGGTGTGTAATGTTACTGTACCTTATAGGATTTGTTCAGAAGGCGCAGACAGACTCTGTATCTGTGTGGACGAGGAAATCATCTGGTTTTACTTTCATGTAAACATCTGGCCTCAGACACATAACTTATCGTTTGTAATTTGTTCTGTGTTGTAAAGATGATTTTTTTTTTTTGCAAAACATGTGAAGCTGAAACACTTCTCTATCTTCTTCTGTATCAGTAAAAAATCATTAAGACCTCACCTGGGATACTTGAAACAATGGTGTGTTTTGTACGGTGATGCTGTTACTCGACTAAATCCAACTGACAGAGACTTGAAAAAGTATCATACCCTTTGAACGTTTATACATTTTGTCACCTTACAACCACCAACTTAAATGTTTTTATTAGGATGTTCTGTGATAGACCAACACAAATAGTGCAGAACTGTGAAGTGGTATGAAAATGATACATGGTTTTCAAAATTTTAAGCAAATAAAACTCTGAAAAGTGTGGCATGCATTTGTTTTCAACCCACCTTCGTCAATACTTTGTAGAGACACTGCTCGCTGCATTTACAGCTGCAAGTCTTTCGGGGGTTTGTCTTTACCAGCGTTGCACATCTACAGACTGAAATGTTTGCCAATTATTTGTTGCAAAATGGCTCAAGCTCAGCCAGACTGTGAACAGCAATTTTTCAAGTCTTGCCACAGATGCTCAGTGGGATTTAGGTCTGGACTTTGACTGAGCCATTCTAACACAAGAATATTCTTTGATCTAAACCAGGGGTCGGCTGGTGTCCTGCAGGTTTTAGAGATCACCCTGGTTTGCAGTTGTAGCATGCTTTTTCCATTTTTGGATGATGGATTGAACAGTTCTCCTTGAGATGTTGGGATAGCTTGGGATATTTTTTATTACCTAACCCTGCTTTAAACTTATCTCCAACTTTATCCCTGACCTGTCTGGTGAGTTCCTTGGTCTTCATGAAGCTGTTTGTTCACTAATGTTCTGTAACAAACTACTGAGGCCGTCACAGAGCAGCTAAATAGGTGACTTCTGAAGGTAAATGAATGCACTGGATTTTAATGAGGGATATCAGAGTACAGGTGGCTGAAAACAAATGCACGCCACACTTTTTAAAACCATGTATCATTTTCATACCACTTCACAATTATGTGCTACGTTGTGTTGGTCTATCAGAGAAAATCTCAGTTTAAAAAAGGTGTCAAAATGTGTAGAAGTTCAACAGGTATGAATACTTAAGCTCATGTAAGCTCATGCTTTGTTCAGTTTGATCAGAAATATCCAAGTGACCAGTTTAATGTTGAAGGAAGTGATCAGAGTAAAATACAGCTTTATTATCCACTTAGCTTTGGTTCAGACTAATAATTGGTTCTTAGTGCAGTGGCACTTTGATATCACTGTAATGTGTTGTCATGCTAATAATGCCAGTAATAGATTACTTTGGCTTGTACAGTAAACATGTAGCTTGCAAAGAACAACGAACATGTGTTTTTATTCTTCATTTGTTTGGTGTTTAACTGTTTTCCCATCTCACTAAATACACAGATTTAAAAAGGTGAAAAGAACAAAATAATAAATTTGAATAAATGTCTGTTTCCTAGCATGAGAAAAATGCCGCCGGACCTAACTTATATTAATAAGTCCACCCAAAATGAATTTCATACTAATTAAAAAAACTTTCCAAACCAGGTTTTCTTTTTATAAAATTAACTTTGGTGTACTCACTCTCAGTTCTGAGATCTTTAAACTCAATAAGAGAGGAGGTGATGTCATCGTATTCATCTGATCCTGAAATGTTCATATTTTTATTTAAAGGATTGTTAAAACATATCACATGAAATTAGACTCAATAAATCAAAAACAAGTTTCATCTCTAACTGCTCTGTGCTTTCCAGCACATATACTGTACCATTTCTGTTTTTCACTTGTGTGACTGATTCATAGAGGTCAGCAGTACCTAAAGAAAAAACAAGCCAGGGTCACATTAATCATTTTATTACAGTTACACTAAAGATCAGAGCAAAAACAGAAACACTGTGTGAGTCAAAACCAGGACTGTAAGATCTTTAAATGTTCTTTGAAAAACTCGTGAACTCAAACTGAACCTGACAAATGTTACTGTCAATGAAGGTTTAATAAAAGTCAGTATCCATCCATTCGCTTCTGCTTATCTGCCAGTCTGTCGCAGGGCTCACACACAGGGACAGACAACCATTCGCACTCACATTCACACCTATGGGCAATTTAGATTGATCAATTAGCCTTTCCCCACTAAAAGTCAATATAAATAATGATAATAAAGATCGGTTTAAATACTGACCATGTTGAAGAGAGTCATACACATGAGTTTCATCCTGGTTGACTCCATGATTTGTGGAGGAGCCCGGACTGTGACTCTCAGACTGGATCGACCTAAAACAGGAAATAAACACAATTGTCATGGTCCTCGGTCTTTTGACCCAACGGTTTGTGTTTTTCATTATTATGATATTGTGTTTGTTCTGATTGTGTACTGGGGTTTAGACTTTTTAGTTCCCAGAGTTTGGTTTCTGTGTTCCCTCTGTTTAGTGTCTGTACCGTGTCTCTGTGCATTTCCTGTTTTATTGTGAAGATCCATGTCTTCTGTTTGTGTGTTCAGTTTATGTTTTCCCCTGTCTCGTCAGTTCAATTTGGTTCAGCTGTGTCTGCCTCCTGTTTGCTATTCCACGTTTCCCTCTGTGTGTATTTATAGTGTGTGTCCTCGTGTGCTTGTTGCTGGTTCGTCTGTGTTCTTTCCCTGCATCATTCTGTGTCGTCCCCCGTGTCTCCCTGCATCATCATTTTGCCTTTGCTGTTTCTGTTTGTTTCACCTCTTTATGAATAAAACTCATTTGCATCTCAGCTGCCTGCATCTTAGGTCCTAATTCTCAGCCTCCACTCATCTGCCACGGCAGACGTGACAACAATAAATTCAAACGTAACTGATGTATGTTTAAAACAATACAAAAAAGTATTTTACCAACCTGGTGAAGCAGGAATCTGTAAGATAAGATAAGAATACTTTATTAATCTCAGAGGAAACCAAGCGGTCACAGTGGCTCAAAGACAGTAAGAACAGTAACTGACTAAACTAAATAATATAATATATCACAAAGTATGAATAATAATGCACACCACAAAAGTAAAGAATTTCAATTCTGTTGTACCAGCTGCAAATGGCAGCATTTCATCATGCAGTCAATGGATGTTAGTAGCAGCAGGTATAGAGTATTGCACATTGAGATATTTACAGACACCAGTGTGTGCATGTGTGCTTTCACATGATGATGTATGTTGTAGAGTCTGACAGCAGCTGGAAGGAAAGATCTCCTAAATCTCTCCTTCACACTGTGGGTGCAGCAGCCTGTCACTGCAGGAGCTGCTCAGTGCTGTCAGAGTGACCTGCATGGGGTGGGAAGTGTTATCTAACAGGGGTTACAGCTGAGCCACCATCCTGTCACTGACTGCCTCCACTGGGTCATGAGGACGTCCCAGAACAGAGCTGGTCTTCTTCATCAGACTGTTCAGATTCTTTCAATTACAATTATTATGTTTAATTGTTTCACTGATATTTTCTGTCATCAGATCAGAATGAATGTTTGAATATTTAAAGTGAATGTAGTAAATAAACTCTGTAAAACTATCTAATAGTGAAATGTTCATATTTTATTTACAGGTTTGTAAAAACATATCACATGAAATTAGTTTCATTCAATCAAAAACAAGTTTCATCTCTAACTGCTCTGTGATTTTCAGCACATATACTGTACCATTTCTGTTGTTTTTCACTTGTGTGACTGATTCATAGAGGTCGGTAGTACCTAAAGAAAAAAGACAAGCCAGGCTCACATTAATCATTTTATTACAGTTACACTAAAGATCAGAGCAAAAACAGAAACACTGTGTGATTCAAAACCAGGACTGTAAGATATTTAAATGTTCTTTGAAAAACTCGTGAACTCAAACTGAACCTTATAACTGTTTGTGTTAATGGAGGTTTAATAAAAGTAAATATTAATAATGATAATCAAGATCAGTTTAAATACTGACCATGTTGAAGAGAGCCGTACACATGAGTTTCATTCTGGTTGACTCCATGATTTGTGAAGGAGCCCGGACTGTGACTCTCAGACTGGATCGACCTAAAACAGGAAATAATCACAATAAAATCAAACGTAACTGATGTTTGTTTAAAATAATAATAAAAAGTATTTTACCAACCTGGTGAAGCAGGAATCTGTGAAAGAGACAAATGTTATTACACATGTTTGTCATGTATAAATTGTTCCACTGATATTTTGTGTCATGAGATCAGAATACATGTATATGTGTGAATAATTAAAGTGCATGTAGTAAATAAACTCTCTAATACAGCATGAAAAGAAGAGGCTCTTACACTTGGACTGTCTGCAGCGATACAACAAGAGCAGGAGAATAATAATGAGAGAGACTCCACAAACCAGTCCAACCATCAACCACACAGGAGATGAACTACGTCCAGTTACTGTAACAACAAACAATAATTAATTATTAATAAAGTGTAAAAGAAGAACTCTGAGAGCACAAATCTCTGCTACGGCAGCTCACTCTGTTGACAATATTTACTTTTAAAGAAACAATATTGTATTTTCAGTGTATTTTTTTGTTTGTACTGTGAGAAGTTTGTAGTTCAGCAAAAATAAGTCCAAAGGCAGATTTTTTCAACATGACAAGAAAGGGCGATAAGAAATGTAAAAGTGAGGTCAGAGGTCAAACAAATGATATTTTAAATCTTTATACATTACTTTCTATATGTTGACAACACCTTTGTAAGAATCATAGTTTCTGTGTCATAAGGATTTTTTTTTAGTCATAAAGTTGACCTTGAAGACCTCGGTGGCTGTAAGCCAAATGTTAATGGATAGTTAACATGACTGCAGCTCGTCAGTGAGGTAACCAGGCAGGTCTGCTGGGATCCTTTCTAGGAAAATAAGATTTGTATGCTAACAGATTTTCCCCTTGTTTCAGTTTCTTCCTGCTTCAAGATTCATTTTCATGCCATCATTCACCTCCAGTCAGACGCCTGCCACCTTGGATCATTACCCCCCTATTCACCACCACTGCTGCCCCTCGGAGCCTCTTCCTCACTTGCCTGCCTGCCCATCGTTCAGCAGTTTCCTTGGGCCTCTGCGTTATCCTTTACTCCCACCTAGTCTGGACTCAAATAAGGCATTGTTGCAGCCACTTTATGAACACTCTCTGTCTTGTCACATTCCCTCAGATTTCCTGCCCTAACTGCTCTCTCCTCTCCCACAGATCTGCCGCCCTCACGCTGTTATGTCCGCTCCTCTGGCCTGTCTCTCTCACCTCAGTTAAGATGTTTTTGTAGGACTCACTCATTAAGTTTAAGTTCATTTATGTTTTGTTCTTGTTGACTGAGTCGAAGTTTGCAATCTGTTGTGTTAAATGAATTATCCTTTGTTTGAATAAAGAAAATTCCACTGATTACATCCTCTGCTTTTTTCACCTGAGTCCCACACTTGAGACCTGAAACTCACCGATATTAAACCTGACAATATATTACATAATAGTTTTATAAAAGTTCTTACAAACTTTTCCTTTTGGAGATCTTAGCCTGGTTTTAATGACTGGATAGAAGTTTGAACAAGTGACAACATTTAAGGTTCATCATGTGGATCATTCGTGTAGTCACCATTTGCATTTTTCGAAGGCTGAGGGTCCATGGAGTAAATAAATGCATCATATTACTATTTTATATGGCGATTGTTGAATCTGCTATTCGTGATATCACTACAAACTTTCTGTCAAGCTCAGATCCCAAATTCAAAATTTGATTAAGAGGACTGGAAATATAGTTGGGATGCTCCCTTCATCTTCCCTCCAGGAGTCAAATTACTGACGGTGACATTATTGAATGGTTAAAGGTGAAATTGTAAGTGTTTGTATGTTTTATTCTACATGACGTGTTTCCCTAAATTGTTCTGAATGGAGCCAACAAAAGTTCATCTAATCTGATGACAGAGATGTTGAGCTTTTTAGAGTTTTATTCTGACAGAAAAAAAAATACTTTCTGCAAATTTTGACAAACGTGACTATGAAAAGATTGAGTGAAATAAGACCAACAACAAAGAATATTTTGATGCTTTTTTGTCTAAAATTGTCTCATTTTTGTTTGTGTTGCCACATAGAATTACTTCACATAGAGCAAAGCTGAGACAAATGTTCATGTGACGTCTAAATCATTCAGATCCAAGAAGTAAATGTATAATAACATACTCTGTACAGTGATGTTGACTGCACTGCTGAACTCTCCTGATCCAGACTCACACCAGTACACTCCAGTATCTGACTTTGATGCTTTGAAGTTACATGTGGATCCAGTCATTCTCCTACAGTCAGAGAGTCGGCCGTCCTCAGAGAACTTCCTCACTCTCCACTCAGTGAAGTTTCCCTCACAGGTCAGTGAGACAGAGTCAGAGGTGAAGTGTTGCACTCTGTCAGGACTCACTGTGAGAGACGCTGCTGAATGAACATCTGGAAACAACATGCAGTGAAGAGACAAAGCTCACAGATGTTAGGATTCAAAATATCACAGTGAGAATATTTGTTTGTTTGAAGCTTTTGTTTTGAAGATCAAATTTAATAGTTCAAAATGATAAAGTGTTTGTTTGGTGAGACAACACTGAGTCTGACAACAAGCCCTGAATCACACAGACAGTCAAATCAATGGAAAACAAAGGAGCCGAATACTGACATGTTTAAGATGATCTAACCCACATGCTTTATCTGCTGGCAGCTCATGTAGAGCTTGGTACACGTCATGTGACATCATGAGCTTTGAGTCATCACTCTCAGCATCATCCACCTGATACAGATCACTCTGAACACACTTCAGTCATTTGCTGTAATGTTTCTGTCATAATTCTGTGATATTGTCTGTTTCACAGATTCCTTCTACAGTGAGATATTTTGCAGCAGCAGGACCAAAACTAAAAACCTTTGAAGTATATTTTAAATGAACAATAACAGCAGCTGTTATTTGTGACGTCTTCTTCTAGCGTCCATCTGTAGTCAGTGTTTCTCTTGTATTTGTCAGAGCTGTTAACCTGCCTGCTGACATCTTTGTTTCTTTATTAACTATATTTGACTTTTTTTATCTGAACACCTACCTGAGCACTAAACAAAGAGTCTTAACTGTGTAAATCCTGTCTGTGCACCAAGTAAAAATAATCAGTACAAACAGAAACATGAGTTTAAATATCAAAACATTTAAAATCTCATAGATGTCTTTTGTTTTTCATGTTATCACATTACATAAAAACTGAAAAATAAGAAAAGGAAACAAAGAAATTCAGTTTGGTTTGATCACAGAGAGAACGGAAAACATTCAGTTCATTCGTTCTTTTGGGAAGTTTTAATATAAACGGAGATAAATGGTTGTCATGGAGATGAGATTTTAATGGTCTAAATCCTGGTGAATAAAAATGATGAGCTAACATGAGGTCATTGAAAGGACAGAGAGAAACAAACTGACCTGCAGACCAGACAAACTTTGGTTGACTGTGATCAGTGTGATACTCTGGGTCTCCTCTTCCAGCTCTGCACACATATCCTGCTGTGTGTGTCTGTCCATGAATGATGTAGGAGTCCTGTGCAGTCCCACTACCATCAGGTAGCAGCTCATAACTGGAGGATTTCTCTGATAGATCAGGAACAGCTTTATACCAGTAGAAGCTCCATCCTGCAGACGGATGTTCAACCTCACAGTTCAGAGTTACTGAGGCTCCAGGACTCAGCCATGATGGAGACACAGTGAGGACAGGACGGGGTTCATCTGTTCAACAAAGATTTTCTCTCAGTGAACATGTAGTACAGTCTCTGAATAGTGAGCTCAGTTTATACAAAGAATAATAATCTCAGTCTATATGAACAGAAACACATTTTACAAAGTGTTCAAACAGCTTAAAGCAAATATGACTTACTGTCAGAAACTGTCAGTGTGACTGAATCACTCCACTCTGTTGTTTCATTCTGTGAACTTTTCATTCTGCCCTTACAGCGATAGTTTCCACTGTACAATGATGAAGCAGATCTAATCCTGAATTCATTTTGATTTGGAGGTTTTATGGTGCTGTTTGCTTCCCACTCATAATTCCACTCAGTGTCTCCTCCGTGGATCTCACATCTGACAGTGATCGTCTCTCCTCCGTATATCTCAGACCAGTTTGGATACAGAGTCACAACAGGCCTGATTGAGACTGTTAATGTTCAACAAAGTACAATAAAAACACATGAAAGACAAAAGGTTCAGTTACCATCAGATGTAGTGCTTTGTAGGAAGTTACATTTACACTCACCAGTTGTGTCAATCCAAACTGGCTGACTGTCCTCTGTGTAGTAAACTGGTTCTCCTCTTCCTCCTCTGCACCAGTAGCGTCCTCCCTCTGAGACACTGATTTGTTCATTTGTCACAGGTTGATAAGATTTGCCATCTCTGTACCAGTAGTATTTCCATCCAGATGATGATGATGATGATGGTGATGTTGGTGATGATGATGATGGTGATGATGGGCTCACAGAGCAGGTCAGGGTCACACTGCCCCCTACTGGAACAGCTGTCCTATCAGCTCTCAGTTCAGCCTTTGGTTTCACTGCAGTTCAGTTTAGAACAAGAACATAAAAGTAAAAATGACTGAATCAGAACAATTTAAAGATGGAAATAAGTAAATGATCAAATATTATGAAACCCTAGTTAAGATGAAACAAACTGTGTCACACATAATATTCTGTATTTCTGTTTTGATCAGCACAGGGTTAGTTTTGTATATTTGCCTTTGCTAAAATTACACAAGTACAGCAGCAACAGAAAGGCTGAAAAACAAAAGAGTGAAGGTTTCACAATTGTTGAAACAAAGTTCAGAGCTCAAACTGACTGAAATGCTGTGGAAGAACCTAGAGAGCGATACATAAACACATCCCTACAAACTTAAATGACAGTGGGCCAAAATACGACTGCTGCTACTGCTGCGAGACAATAGAGCAAAGTGGGGCAGGAGAATGGCAATAGAGCGTATAACACTATCTAAGCTGTACTATCAACTATAAATAAAGAAAATAAATAAGTACAAAAAACAAACAAACAAACAAAAAAAACGGCGACTGGATCTGATTGTATTTTGAACATCTGAGAATTGCTTCTAAATGAATGTGAGCAGTTATCATTTCATTGGTGTTATTTTGTACTTCTGTTTTTGGTGTATTGTTCCTTTATCACATGTACCAGTGACAGCCAATCAGTGTAACCACAGCGAGCAACAGAAACCTGAGTGAGGGGAAGAGATTCAACAACAAAGCAAGTTGTGAACAGATGCATTTTTATATCCAGTCTTTCACAGTGATGGTGTCCAACTTCAGTCCTTGTGGATAAAATCTGTTTGATGCAGTTTGAATGAGGATTTGGTGAGTCACAGTTGGTTTGCTTTGTGTCAGTTAGCACGTTATGTGCTTGTTCTTTACTAAATCTGATGTTGAAGCCTCTGATAGCTAAGATGAGACCTAGTAAGTGTGTTTTATATTCTTTTGCTGTGGAAGCTGACATTTCCTGTTGCACAGATGTCTTTAGGCCACAATAATAAGCACAGTGAACATCACCGCTGACATTACAGGGAGGGAGCAGTTTGGATGTGATTTCCAGCTGAGCTGTTAGGAATGCTGGAACAAGACTCCAGTGTTTGTGTTACAAAACAGATCAGGTTTATTAGCCGAGTGCAGATCTTGGCGCTGAAACCTGAGACTGTTGAACCTCGATGGTGATCCACGCCTAGGAGATGTGAACTTCCACTAAAGTCTTCTGTTCCTGCTGGATCAACTCATATTCCAGAGATCAGGAAACTGACTCACACTTCTGAACTTTGATACGACGCCACAATAATCCCTGTTACTGCGACACACAGAAGATTTAATCCAAGAACTGATTCCACACCAGACTGTGACTGTGAAAGGTTTCTCTGTAAATCTGTGAACAGCTGATTTTGTGCTTTCAGTGTTGTAATTCCATTCATTGTGTTGGTGTTGCACTGTGTTACTGACTATTCCTAACCAGCCACTCTGCAGGTCTAGTGAGTGACTTTACTTTTATTTATA